AACCAAATATTTCTCTTGATTTTATTTCGGAAAAACTGTGGAACGAAATTAACTAATTACATTTAACATTACTAGGGCACTATTTAAGTTGTGAGCCTCGACAACATAACGTGTTTTTATACGACTTCTGATACTTTTAATGAAAAGTTTGACATTTTTGACTACAACCTTATTCAAAACTTTTTATCATTTGAGCACGTTTTGATAATAACATTTAATTGAAAATTATCTTGACTACAAAAACATGGAATTGACTTGAGGAAATATTCGCGCGAAGATTTATTATGACTTTCGACGTGGTTAATCAATACAAAATTGAAACGGTCAGCTAAATTTCACTCCTGGTGATAAAGATCTATCCTTCACCATTGTAAAACGCTAGTTTAAGAAGTATAATATTGTATGTCATTGGCTCACTAGTGAACTTTGCGAAAGTCGTCCAAAATGACTAATAGTGGCGGAAAACATTGATTTTGTCAGAAAAATGGAAGAAAAACCTCGTCATGTGATATATCGCAGGATTGAGACAATCCTAGGCATTAATTCCACTAGCAGTAATAAAATATTGTGTGACCACATTATGGTTAATACGTTTTTTTTTCGCTGGATGTCACAAAATTTTTCAAACGCTCAATAGGACGCTTGTGTCGTTTGGTCCTTGGAAATGTTTGATAAATACGTTTAAAAAGCTTGAAAAGCCGTTTTTAAAATTGTGAAAGTTGACGAATTAAGGATCTATGCATGATGATCCTGAAAATAAACAGCTATCGACTATGGAGGTGTTTTAAGATAAACCAATTCCAACAAAAGTCCCATGCGCTCGGAACACTTTGAAATTTACGGTCGCCTATTTTTCCGAAATATCCGATTATATGACAGAAAGATCACTAGAGAAATTTAGAATGGTTAATTCTTAATAGTAAACAGCCACTTTTTTCCAAAAGTCTTCAGTTTAATAAGGAAAACTGACCAGCATAGTCGAATCGCCATTCGTGACGAAAATGTGAGCTTTTACACGTCTCGTCAAACAACTGACTATTTGAACACTCAAAATATGAAATAAACAGGTCCAACGCTACAAAATTCTTGTTTGGAATCTAAACACTTCTTTTGGTACCCATATATTAAAATTAAATGCATGAACAGCGATTTATGTGTCCAGAAGCAACTGTCGGTGCGGTCAAAAACCATGCTTTGGAGGTGCCTCAAGCTGAGTGGAAAAAATGCTATGAAAAGTGTTTCGGACACATTAAAAAGTACATAAATCATGAAAGACAATACCAATAAACGCAATCAATATCATTTTAATAATTAACTACTTTGTTTTCATAGTTAGGCTCACAACTTAAATAGTGTCCCACGTATCAGCCTAGTGCCAATACACTTGGCTTGAAATGGGCTGTTTATACCCTCTGCAAGTCTGCATGGATATGCTAAGGAGGTCTATCCTAAAAGCTTAAAAAAATATGGTTTTGGAAGGTCGGAGCGTGAGTTTCTCATATAAAAAAATATTTTTTCATGTAAGTAGGTTACACCAATCCCTTGACACATCACGGAGCTTAGATACCTAATTTCCTAAAGCTTATACTTCCACCAGGTACAAATACTTTAAGCTTCGTTTCAAATTGAAATTTTACATCACGATCAGACATATTTCCCTCAAGGGTGTTTTAGGATGTGATTCCGCTCGGAAGACTAATAAGGCTTTAAGTTTATGTGGTATTTTGTCGGCCCGTTTTCATGGATACTTAAGAGTTTAAGTGGTGTTATAACTTCGTTGTTATGGCTGGTTTGATGCAGCTAAATGTTTTGTAAATATGGAAAGAGAAAATGAACTTTGCCGTTGTTGGATTATGCTCGAATCTAAATGTAAATGCAACATGTAAAAATATGAAAACAATAAAATAGTGAGTTGGCAAACCAACTACTACAACTAACCAACCAATACAGAGTCGTCTTCCACCTATCACCTTATGTTCCGACAGTCAGAGGTAAGATAGCCAGTTCCTCCGTGGTTGAGGATTCCGGGTGAAGCTCGCTTCCACCTTCGGCCTGATCATCACTTACCATCAGGTGAGATACAGGCCATGAGCGATAAAAAAAACCTATCACAAACAAAAAAAGAATGCCTAACCAAACTTCTATGCTTATTGCCAAAAAATAGCCACAGTAAAAACACCAGTAATCATCACTACTCCGTTTTAATCACCAGACACACCCTTTGAGGAAAACGCAAATTTTTTCTTACAGAAAAACTTAATGTTATTTTTCCATTCACAATAGGATCCCACTTAATAGAGCGCATTAATTTATATCGGACTGCGCCACTTTACTGTCAGCAGGCAGGACAAACAACCGCCCACAAGGAAATGGAGTTATAGGGACCGCCCTACTTTTCCTATTAGAAGAAAAGTTCTCAGCACTGGAAACGGTTGGGCGCGGACCACACGGAGCTATTTTTGGTAGAGATGAAAATATGTGAAATGTTTTGACGTACGTATTTCAACGTTATTCAAAATATTATTCTGGTTGTATCCGGCATGCCACGATGCAATTTTGTAACTTCCATATTATACAGGGTAACAGGGAAACTCGACCTATTCCTTGATAGGGGTTAAACTAGAGATCATTAGCAACAAATTAAGTGCTGTTTTGACCGTAAGAAGCCCACTCAACACAACAATAAAAAAAAATGTTACGAAATACTTCCACTCGCATTGGAATGTTTTAAGTAGTTAACTATTTACGTTACAATTAATTAAATGATGCAACGCGAAGGTTTCAAAATAATTTGGAGTGTGACTTCTGTATCTCTTAGCTAGTTTACAAATACCGCGGAACGTTACCCACAGGTAGGGATTCTACCTGAACATTTTCTGCTCTTGTGAATCACACCTTACAAAACTTCTCAGTAAAAATGTTCGGACGTGCGTGAGCATAAATTCCGGATCTCCTTGCGGATTTGCTTTGGAGGCTTGCCAATGAAACAGTCCTCTTTGCATCAGCTGAGATACGTCTCGCTAGGCTACTAGGTCAAGCCAGTTGGACTACTTCGTAGATTGGAGATGGTTTGTATTTTGGTATTTGTAAGTGCAAGATGCTGGCAATCTTTAAAAAAAATTAAATTAAAGTTACTCATTGGTGTGATGAACAAGAGATTTGTAGGGTTTCGGTTAAGACGACATCAAAATATTATGACTTTTGCAAGAAAGATGTATAGTCAGATAGCGACAGCCCCAGCCCAAAAATAAAGTTGGCGCCGCCAACATCAAACAGAAAATCTGTAGTTATGTAAACAGATGTCAGGAGACCTAACTGTTTTCTTAACTCTGTTTTTGTAAAATATGTAACTATTTACAGAAATAGAGTTTTACACAAGACGATAACCTAATAATAATTTTAATCTGCTTTTATAATGGTTCGTAGAGCCGCAATCAATCTTAAACTTACACAAAACAAAAAACACGCCTCTCGAAATTACAATTATAACGAAATTGCTGAAAATTACACTAGCTTTGTTTTCAGCTTTGTCAAGGAAAGGATAAAAAGGGTTGCTTTCCTTTTACAGCGACACAGGCGCGGTAATCCGTCAAGAAGCCTTAAAAAAAGGCTAAAACTTCGTCCAGTCTGAAAGTTGTACGTATCACCCGGGGCGCCGTCTCGGGACACCAGGGAGACTGCATAGATCCTTGGTGTAGTGTAGCCATGTTTCATTGAGGACTCGGGATATTTCTGCTTGTATTTTTATACACGCAACCCGCCCCGGCTACGCGCGAGTGGGATGTATTTATACATAAAATCCATCCTCTTGAATCACTCATCACACTGCCTAAGGCGGGAATCGAACCCACGACTAAACTCTAAGAAATTGACCTTCCACTCTCTGAATGTCGTAAAAGGTGAATCTTTTAAAGGCCTCCCGAACTAGTTTGAAAATGACTTGATGATGATGATTGAGGACTGATTCGGTTTTTCCTTTGGTATCTATTTTTTTACGGGACCGACATCTCTCACTGTAATATTATAAATCATCAGAAGTGTTTCCACTTTCAACCAAATTACTCCCGGTAATCGGAAGCCCTTAGGCATGTATAACAGTGTCCACAAACAATATTGCATAATTTCCCTTTTCACTCAAGATCCTGAGGAAATTATGATAATGGACCTTTTGTTGGGTCGGGTGTTCTTCGGAAGGGGCTGTTTACTTTAGTTCTAAAACTGTAAGTCTGATGTTATACAAGCTATTACAGTAAACAGATCCAGTTACCGTATTAATAATATCTGCATCTTCCAAAATGAAACAAAAAACAGAATTTTAAGTAATGTTTGATACTCGTTGTGTAATCGTGATTCTTATATTTTCTATTCCATTTGTAAAGGCATGGATTGCCTTAATATGCATTGACTATTATCAACCCACAAAATAGCACAAGTAGAAACACTGATTATTGAATTTTTTGTTTGGTCATATTATAAGTTCGTTCAGTTCAGCCAAATGACGACCACTACTGGACAAAGGCCTCCTCCTTAAAAAAAACCTTCAGTTTCATGTATTATTTGCAAAACAAGTCACAACTGTATAATAGAGGCGACCATAATTTAGTTCAGAATTAGAAAAAGATACTCTCGGTTGCTGAAATGATGGTCACCTTTGCTGTTAGAGCATTTCCCACAGGGAGCTATTCTACTGTGAAGTTACCAGTGTAAAATTTTACCAATTTTACTGGGCGCTGACAAAACAAATGTCTCAAACACTTCTTCATAGAAACTCAGTAGATAAGTTTGATATTCTGGATAGATGTGGTCGATACTCATAAATCCTATAGTTTCTTACACAGAGTCAATTAATTATTTTGTCCGTGATGGTGGTAGCAACACTGAAGCAACAATACAACAAACCTCAAATTATAAACCTGGCCGTAAACAAATTTTAAATTTAGAATTCAATCAGCCTTTTGACACCGTCACCGTCACTGTCATAACCTGACAGATGTATTTCGGAGTGGATTTTTAGTTTCAATTTTTGAGTCGAATTTAATTAATTAAAAATGCAATCAGTCGTGACATTTGAAAAACCGTTACCCCACTTGAGTTTGCCGGACTGGGACGCTCGGTTGTATGATTTGCAGGTAGGTCAAACTTTACTGTTCTGATTCCATTACGTACTCAAAACTTCAGTTTAAACTAGATGCTGCAACTAGGTACTAGAAGCCCCGGATGGTTTTGTCACCTGGTAAAATCACTCGGTGAGCGTGCACTGAAGTTTAGACAATACACATGTATTCTGACCCAATTATGACCATGTTAGGATACATCGAACTTATTAGTACCTACTGACGACCCCATCAAGTTAAACGCTTATGTATAGGTAACTGTTGTTATAATACTTAGAACCTTTGCTTTATATTAGAAAAATGTGAGTAGTCTGATGTACTATACAAATGTTCTGAATGAATGTTCATGACTGTATTCACCCCTCCCTAAAATTACAGCTAAATATTGTAAAAACAGGTGTGTTACGTAAGCTATTTTTACCTAATAATTGAGTTAACCGTAAAATTATTTAAATCCAAGACCCTTCAGGAATTTTTAATCGAACTGGACGCTTGAAACTTTGTCTATTATTCTACTCCGTGATATGATGCCTCGGGCCTCACATTATATTATAAACACTAACTTTTCTCTCCAATAATTTCATGGGCCCGCCTGATTTCGTTGGCAAATTAGAAAAGTTTAATATGGGCTGGTGTCCCGAAAGTGGCTTGGTAAGCCTATTGCAAAAGATTCGGATCTCAAGTATCTCAATTTTCACTTTGAATAATAGCTTTTGAACTTTTTATGATTCTCACCGTATTGTCAGATCCATTGCATAACAATAAGATTTCGTTCCCGAGTTTTGGAAACTCTACACCGTTTTGCTGCCAATAGATTTATTAAAGCAGATATTGACTGAAAGGCAAGTCTAAACTGTACATCTTTGTTATAAAGTTATTTGTTATTTTGTTCTTCTTTGGACAAATTATGTTCTTGAAAACTTGGATCGTTTTAAAACCCTGAAATATTTTTACTGCTAAAACAAGTCTACTGCACTTTGCTATAAAAATATCAACGGAGCTTTTGAACTTGTATGCAATATTTTTAAAAGTTCTCAAAAATAACTGGCTTGAAACTAATTGCGATTTGAGTGAAATACCCGAAACGGCATGAACTTGTCAGGAATAAATATTAATTAACAAACAGAAAAGTGGAAATGGTTGTTAGGCCTAGTGCAGACGAGGCAACGAAACATACAAACACGTTTTTACGAAGAAGAAGATACAAACTTCACATTACGAACGATGTATCCGATCCAATCCATATCATTAGGTTTCACTAGTTATTACAATCGATCATTGTTTTTGATCTAAGTAGTTTATGACAATGTCTACCCTTGAGGGACTGGTATTATTGACAGTTCTACCACATTTGATGATAAATAAAGATGCAGTCTTGACTGGTATACCTACTTTGATTTGATCTTTGGTTGCAATTGCCTTTTATTGTATGTTCTTTGCTTTAACGTTCATATCGTTCGAGTAGATATAGCTGGGTATGGGAATGGGTACATTTATTTCCAAATTAAATGATTCACTGTCCGCGCGAAACACATTTTTGGGAGAAAGGATTATTTTAACTTTACCATGAATGTAATCAGTGGCACGTATTTTATCATGGCGAGGTGTTATTGATATTTATGCAGAGTGAAGTTTATTTCATGGGTTAATTTTTTTATTTCTGTTGCAGTTTACCTTATGGCATTGTCATGGGACGCAGCAACTCAAAAATATGTTGTTAACTGTTTTTGGAAGCCAAGCTACCCATAGTATCTATATCATATATCTACTGAGGGGTTACTTAGGACGAGTTGCACCACCTTATTTTGACCGTGACTAAAACCATAACAGGTGTTGTATGCCCATGCGGCGGAACACAGCTGATCTATTACAAACGTTTTATGACCTGGCTTATGTATTTACCTGTGATTTCACAATAAAAACAATTTGAATTTGAATTTGAATTGTTTTTTGTATAGAGTTTGAAATATTGTAAAAGTAAGTTAGAACTAAAAATGTTAATTTCGTCAGGTTACCTCAGATACCAGAAGAGCTGATGCCTTCGATCTTCGCTACAGCTCTCACCAGCTCCGCAATGAGACCAAGATCAAGACCAATTGGGACAGCTATCACAACAACAATCGTCTCAGAGCCAGGTATTGAATCTTCTTCTTCTGGGACTTAGTTTTCTGAACGCTTTGAATATTATGCTCTTTAAAGCACACAATCGAAGACAAAAGTACCAGATTACAAAGAGTAAGAACAGATTCCACATACAACGTGTCCCAAAATTCAAGGATAAGCCGACGCCGCAGGATGGACATAGTCATGACTACTTTAGGAAAAATAAGAAAAAAAATCTATCTCAATTATTTTTTAAGTTACACAATAAATTATGGAATTCGTCGAAAATTGACACCCCTTATAATATTTTACATTACCACGACCACAATTTTTCAAATACTTCTGTTTTTTTGTTTGTATCGGCAACTTAAGTAGTGCTGCTGTCCTCTCCAATTCTTAAAACCCTCAGAATCCTTGCAGTTTTTACACAAAAGTAAATCAAATTATGATATTTCCTTAAAATTTTGAACGATTTTTACTTTCACTCCACTTTGACTCGTCGTTTTGTAATAAAACAGTATGAACACTACTGCGGCAAGTTTTTTATAAAGTTGCCGCAACTATCCAAGATTCCAAAATGGTATAATACTCTAAGAAAACTAGTCGCAATAAAGATATGCGTACCATTTTTACAAGCACTTCGCTTGTTAGTTAGTATGGGATAAATCTTGGAATTAAAGGACATTGTCAGAAACCGCCTAAAAAACCGCCCAAAAACATTAACCCATCATAATTATTTTCTATTTTTTTTAATACATTAAGCACCCTTTCATTCTAATGGACACTTAAGCATTGAAAAATTAAATAAATAAGTCTTTTAACGTTTATTCTATAATACTATTACAACTTCCGGACGTTTTGGTGCGTGGCATGGTCTAAAACCTATCAAGTTCCATAATTTTTGCCGATAAAATCTGTACGAGGCATTACCGTACTTTATTGCTGGGAGTCCATGTATAGTGATGTTCCTGCGGCCATCATAGACAATAAAATATCGATTTTGAAAATAAAATAAATCGATTAAACTGCTTTGAAGACTAGATTTGCGTTAAAAGCTAAAAAGATATTGACAGTTTGACACTATTACAAGAAGATATCTAAAGTGTCCAACTGGTCGAAGGTCGTAAATAAAATAAAAATAATTAGGACCATAAACTGATATTCATGGTATCATAACTGTAAAAGTGTCAGAATCCGATGTTGAATCCAATGCCAGTTGAAGTGTGAGAAACATATATATTTTTTTTTTATGTGACAGGAGGCAAATGAGCAGACGGATCACCTGATATCAACCTAGTATAGTTGCCAGTCTCTCATAATCTATGCCAATGAGGGTTTTCGCGATTGAAAAATCCGCCAGATGGCAATACGTAGACGTGAGGTCCAAATGCTGCATGATTGGTTATTTTTGACATGACATTGACAGATATCCACCAATCATGCAGCATTTGGACCTCGCGTCTACGTATTGCCATCTCGCGGATTTTTCAATCGCGAAAACCCTCATTCATAGCACATGTATAATAATAGACCAAATGAACTTTTATAGATTGTGAAAGAGAAGATAAAGATTTTATTATTTTATTAAAATCTTGCCACGAGGTAGTTTTTCAGTAGAAACCAGGATTGGATAATCGCTACAGGCAAGTATCAGAACATTTTATAAATATTTTTAATCGATTATATCCATGTGAATCGTTTTAATAAATTGTCATTTTACTTTTTCAATTAAAACTTTTTCAATCCCTAGTCTTGTCAAACTGTCATAATGTCAACAAATTATAAATGTCACGTCAGTTGACTCAATTTCAGTCTTCTGTGCGTTTATTGTATTTTTATTTCAATGAAATAGTGCTAAAGGGTTAGTACTAAAACTGAAAGCCTTTTTTCAGAAAGAAAACCAATGTGGTGCCCTTATTATTCATGCTGTTTGAAAGTTACAAGTCAGTGATACAGAGTTGCCGACATTATAACTCCGTAGTGATACCATACCAAAGAAGAAGTTTTCCTAAACACTTGTGTTGTTTTTATATGTGATCGAATAAAAAGGATTAATTCTACTGCTCAAATGGAATAACTTATCCCAAGAGACCGAATATAAAAAAAACCTCTCCATAGAAATTATCACCATCACGAGGATGTGAATTTTTTTGAGAATTTGATATTGGTCCTGTAAGAAAAGTAGTTGTATTTCAGTAGTAGAATCAACCCTTCTTGTTTCATCAGCAAGAGTAACTATAAAAACGCCCTGTAGGTAGGTATTATTAAGCTGAAGAGTTTGTTTAGTGTCAAAGACTGTCACACAGTGTAACTTAAATTGGCATATTATGATAATGAACATAAAAACTTAAATAAATATTTATGTTAATATTTTTTCTATTTATTTATTTTCCCAAAGCTTCACAGTGACAGCTGAAACAGCAATACTGTTAACAAAACAGTAAAACTAAACTTGGAACAAACTGTTACAAATATGAGGGGTTTAATATTTTACAAATTAAAATAAAACCGCATGTTGCTTTACTTTCTCGTATAGGTAATAAATGTAATTAATGGCTAGATTATTAATGTTACTTTGTTACCCTCAATAGTGAGGAAATCTTATAAAATGGTAACCCTGATTTTTATTGTCATTCAAGTGCTCTTTCTTCGCATAGGCTTCTGTGATTTGGCCAAGGGCCACACACATTGCGATAACATTATGCGACATTGATTTGACAGCAGCGGAGTGAAGTCTTGCGACTATGCAAAATGATACCCTGTAATCGTAGCGCATACAGACATAGACGGGGCGGGGCACATAGCTCGTAGAGCTGATGGCCGCTGGGGCAGGAAAGTTCTTGAGTGGCGACCACGAGCCGAAAGACGTAGCGTGGGCAGGCCTCCCACTAGGTGGACCGACGATCTGGTGAAGGTCGCGGGAGGTGCCTGTATGCGAGCGGTGCAGGATCGGTCTTCGTGGAAATCCTTGGGGGAGGCCTTTGTCCAGCAGTGGACGTCTTTTCGGCTGAAACGAACGAACGAACGATACGTATTACCACTATTTACCAGACATTACTATTTATTGCATACTCGCCGGATTACACGTAGGAGCACGCGCGTAACAGCTTCGGCCTTGCATTATTATAAGATCTTGTTCCGCCCTTTTACGAACTTCCTCCGTGAGGATATCCCCGCCGAATTCTATGATGAACCTATCAAAAGTCATATTCTGCAATGTCAACCCACCACAAGGTGGACCGACGACCTGATAAAGGTAGCGGGAAGGCGCTGGATGCAGGCCGCTACCAACCGTGCGATGTGGAAGTCATTGGGGGAGGCCTATGTTCAGTAGTGGACGTCCTGTGGCTGAAATGATGATGATGATGAAGAAATGAATGAAAATGACAAATCTTCGAACGTGTATAATACCGTGCCAAAGTAATCATATAATTTTGGCACCTTAATAACTATTGCCGTTTTTGTTGTAAAGATCATGCAGCGCTACTTGCGGATATTATTGGAAAGAAAACTATGTGGGCTCTAGATCTGAAGCCGCTTTAACGAACACGAAGTGCTCATACAATGCGGCGTATTTTCTTCCAGTCTTTAGTCAGGACTTTAGTCGAATTAAAACCCCGGTTGAACGTGATATAGCCGCACTAGAATACGATGCTTTTTTGCATAATCGCAAGACTTCGTTCCGGTGTCGACCGAATGTTATCATGATGTATGTGGCCCAGGGGTTACCGTAGCCGCTAAGGTTTGAAACTTCTTGCTTAAAATATTGTAGTCTTTGGCATAGACTACGATGGTAGTCATGGAGATAGGAGTTTGTTATCTCGTGTCAGATGTAAATGGTGAAAAGAAAACTCATGATTCGTGGTATTTTTATGTAATATGTAGGTATTTTATAAAAGTGGAACCCCGAGTGATCTCCAAAACCCATTCTATTATTATATACGATTCGGCTTCGATATCTATAATACAATAGGAGTTTATTTCATGTGTCAGATGACAAGGGTGGAAACAACCTACGATTCATGTTGTTTATTTACGTGCAATATGTGGGCATATTGTAAAAGTGGAATGCCGAGTTGTATTTCTAAAACTTGTTCTATTATTTTATACTATTTGGCTGCGACTCGGCGTGACGACAATACAAAACATTTTTCGCGAATCGGTGTTCATACATTCACACAATACATTAGACGCCATGTTGTCATAAACGACATATTATAAAATCGCTGTGATTTAATATTCTTAATCATTAATTTTATGGCAAGTGTCCATCAGGAATCATTGTTCTTACACACAGAATCGTATTATTTCGCTTTCGGGTAGTAATATGTCAAAATTGTTGGTTCTTTAGGCGAACAATGTATGGAGAACGAACATTGTCCTTTAAAACCAGTTCTCCTCAACCAATTGAGCTGAAATTTGGTATACTTATGTAAGTACGATGACATTGCAANTCGGTTTACTACCATCTTGCCTAAGTCTGTCGCCATAGCAACAATGTTAACAGCATTGTTGTGTTCCGGCAGTTAGAGGTAAGATAGCCAGTTCTTCCGTGGTTGAGGATTCCGGGTGAAGCTCGCTTCCACCTTCGGCCTGATCATCACTTACCATCAGGTGTGATACAGGCCAAGATCTTCCTTGTGGTGAATAAAAAACCGCACACAAACCAAGTTCCAGCGTTTCTCTTGTCGCTTGCGCACAAGTAATAACGAATGAGCGTATGAACATCAAACTTCTCCCGTATAACTCGCACTTAGTTCCACGTCTGATGTGCCTAAGCTAATAAACGACAGTTGATGTCGGGGTTTGGCTAACTTCTTTAGTATTTTCCCACAAGGCCTATCCCTGTGACACAGTAAAGGTATAGGACATAGTATTATCAGTTGCCTAATTTCATATGG